AGGATACGGTCTGCACAAGGGTGCACGATGCGGGAAGGTATTTGGGGGCTCCTCTCCACTGTCCTCCCCAATCCCGCGCCCCCGGAGCTGGTGGACGTCCGGAGGGGCCGATCCGGGAGCCGGCGCTAAACACTAGGATAGGGAAAGGGAGCCACTCCATTTCGGAATCCCCGGGTGACCGCCCCCGGCAGGCCCCACCCCCTGGCGTCCCAAACCCCTCCTCTCCGTCCGCGCGTGGCCGCTGAGGAAAGTATGGCGGGAGAAACGAAGACCCCCCCCCTCCTGCCTCGTCTGCTGTGGAATCCCCGAGGTGTCAGCTCGCACTTTCTTGGAGTGAAGCCGGTTTGCGGCGTTTCAGTTTAGGAAAGTCTGCCCGCTATCCGGCCCTTCTGAGAATCCGGCCGAGGCTGGGGAGTGCGCAGAGGGGCCCGATGAACCCCACCCCAGCGGCTGGTCAGGGATCTGTGCTGGCTGTTCGTACTGAGGCGGAGGCGCAGGAGGTCAGGAGACTTGAGAAGACAAGTGGCAGTGGGGGCAAGCAGGAATTAGGGCCTCCAGATCCCCCAGATGGGGCGATTTGTCATTATCCTGTGCTGAACATAGCTCCAAAGTCAGGAGGAATTTTCCCTGGTCACCCTTAATCTTTCAGATTCGGGGGAAGCGCGTTGCGGGTCTCTGAGCAGGTCAGATTCCCTTCAACCCTCCCCTCCATGCGCCCCTGCACTGAAGTTGTACTCTATCAAGGAACAGAAGGTTGTCTCCATCTACCAGAGAGTAACCGACTGCAGACACCTCTGCTTGGCGTCATACCCTGTTTCAAGGGCAAGCAGAACAAACCAGTTAACCCAAAGCAAATGGTCTGGTGAAGCTGCTGGTGGACCCAGGCACCAGACCCTTGCCCAGTGGTTCTCCTCGTCCCATGGCCTGGTGCCTCCTGTTTCTTTTCCTAAATTACAAAGTATCACTCCTGACCAATGGAGTTATTGGGAGCCACCATTTGTCAAATGCCTGGACTTTGACTAAAGCAGATGGATGAAAGGAAAGGAGTGAAGCTCTTTTTTAGTGAACAGCGATTGTTCCCCCAAATACCAGATGCCGCCAGGGTCACCCAGAGATCTCACCTGGAGCCTGCCAATACCCGTGGGAACCAGCCCCTTTCGACTTCACTGAACTCAGTTACGCCCCTGTCCATCCCACCCCAGGAGCACCAGCGGGCACCATGGCGGCCTTGGCCCAGGAGGAGAGGTTGCCCCTGAGGAACCAAGGATCAACAAGGCAGGCTTGAGATTGGGTGCTTTAGCAAGCAGCACAAGCCTGTGGCACCGCTCTGCAGGTACAGACCCTCTGCAGAAGCTCCCAGCCCCGTGACTAGCTGGGCACCAGCTGCTGAGTGTTGAGAACCTGTGCTCAGTGTAGCCCTAAAGTAGGTAAAATGCAGAGCCCAGGGATTGCTGGCATACAGCATCAGGTCAGCCCCCACTGCCCAGCCCAGCTCCTTCCCTCCCTGCAAACTTACCCCCTCAGCTAAGGAGTTGCCCTTACTTTGCATTTTTCTGTAGTTCCAGAAGCACAGAAGTTGAGTCAGAGCACGTGGGCTAAATCCTGCCTCAATTCCTCACCAGGTGATCTCAGGCCTACTTAACCTTTCTGTGCCTCAGTTTCCTCACCCAGAAAACAGAGATGATGGTGTCTGCCTCACTGGGTTGACTTGTGGGATCATTTGTCATTCAACATAAACTGAACACCTACTAGTCTCTTGTAGTGGTAGGTGACTTTCTAGGTGCTCAGAGCACATCCATATACACAACGGCCTAGTGGGAGAAGGGGTGGGGCAAGCAGTTAGCAGAATTGACAGCATGATCTGCTGTGTCCAATCCTGCTGCAAAGGAAAAAGAAAGTGGAGCAGTGTCAGGTAACAGGGTGCTGGGTCACAGTATTAAAGGAGCCAGGGCAGGCTCCATTGCAACTGATGGTGACATCTGAGATGAGGGAGCTGATGAAGCTCAAGCCTGAGTGGGAACAGGGTCCCAGGTAGAGACCACAGTGACAGCAAAGGCCCTAAAGGGGGGAAAGGGCATCACAGGAAAGTGGTCACTGAGCAAGGGGCTTGGGGTGTCAGAGCTTGGGGGAGCATGGAGAGGTGGGGGGCATGGGAGGGTGCTTTCCTCTGTACCGAGTGGGGTTGTCAGGTATCACAGGTGAAGCACCAGAAAGAGACCCCCTGCTGTAAATCCTGCTGAAGGACCACCAGCCATCTCACAGCCAAGCTGCATGTTTATTTGGTTTATGTTACTGCTGCTGACTGCGTGTGCTCTTATAATATGCTTGCTGTGTGCCACCAATTGTCCCATCCTTGGGGAGACCATGGTGGACAGAAGATCTTGGCTTCTGGAAGCTGGAAGGGGAATCAGATAATAAATAAATGACTCTGCAATATAATGCCATTTGTGAGAGATGCCATGAAAAATAAAATGGGTGAGGAGGAGCCTGCAAGGGGGCAGGGTGTCAACTAAGACCTCCTTGAGGTGACATTGAGCACAGAATAGGTGGAGGGAGCGGAACAGAGGTTTGCAGGGACAGCATTCCAGCAGAGACAGTACTGACAAAGGCCATGAAGCAGGAGCTTGCTCCCTTTGGAGCAAGAATGGCGAGAGAGAGTGGCGGCTGGAGTGGAGTGACCCACGTGACCTGATAGGACCGTCATTTTACCATGGTCACTGTGCAAAACAGGTTGGAGCTGGCAAAGGAAGCAGGGGCTGCAGAAATGCAGGTAGGAGATGGTGACTCCTGAGTGGGCTGGTGGAGGCAGAGCTGACAGGCAGCAGCCACCAGCTTGCCTGCTGTGTGGCGTCAGGGTGAGGAACGGCTGTAGCTTGGGCCAAACTGAGTGACTGGAGGGCCTGTCCAGTGTCTAGGAGACGGTGAAGCAGGTATGTGGGAAGGGGCCCAATATGATGTTGGGTTTTGTTTTTGCTGGGTCCAAGATGTCCAAAAGACAAGCAGAGATGAGCCTCATGGGAGAAAACCAAAGCAGTGCATGGCAGTTGAAATCCCCAAGATGGATGAAGGCAGGATAGGTGGAGAAGCAGCTGGGGGAAGGTTGAACCAAGGCCAACAACAGCTTTGGAGAGTGGAGGGGCGGGGAGGAGCAGCCCCAGAGGCCCAGGGAAACCTGGGCAGTGCTGAGCCAGACAGTCAGATAGGCAAGTGTGTTTCGAAAAAGAGGGCTGTTCAGTGGAGTAAGTGCTGCTGCCAGATTTAATTAGAAAAGGAGCAGACACTGACCACAGGATTTGGTAGGGAGGCCCTGGGCAGAGCAGAGGGATTGGAGCGGCTGGGCTGGAGCACAGTTTGGAGAGAGAAGGAAGTGAGGGTGGGGAGACCCTGGGAGGAGAGAAGTGGCAGTGGCCAAGGGGGCGTGGGTCCCATCTTTAAGATTACAGTGCTCTGCTTAAAGGAGGGAGAGGCTGGGCAGGTGCCAGGGCTCAGCAGGCAGGAGCAGTCTGGGGTCCAGGACCAAGGAGAACAGGGAGGGCTGGGCAGGGTGGACTTCTGAATGCTCAGAAACTCCAGGGAAGTGAAAAGCAGGCTGTGATGGATCATTTTATGTCCACTTGGCCAGGCCCAGGCATGTGGTCAAACACCATTCTAGATGTTGTTGCAAAGGTATTTTTTTAGATGAGATTAACATTTAAATCAGTCGCCTTTGAGTAAAGCAGGTTGCCATCCATAATGTTGGTGGGCCTTATCTAATCAGTTGAAGGTCTTAGAAGACTGAGGTCCCCCTCCAAGGAAAACGTGATTCTGCTGGTAGTCTGTCTTCAGACTCAAGACTGCAACATGATCTCTTCTCTGGGTCTCCAACTTGCCAGCCTACTTGGCAGATTTCAGACTTGCCAGCTCCACAGATGTGTGAGCCAATCCCTTACTTCTCTCTAAATCTGTCTCTATCTCTACACACACACACACACACACACCACACACACGACACACACACACACACACACACACACACCCCCTTCTGGTTGTGTTTCTCTGGGGACTACTGGCTGACACACAGAGGCCTCAGCTGACAAGGAGGAGAAGGCATGACTTGCTCACCTTGCAGCATGGGAAGGTGAATGGGCTGTAGCAAAAGAAAGGATAGATCACCAAACGCAAAGTGAACTGCGTGGTTCAGTACCATGTGTGGCTTCCCTAAACCCAGTATCTACATACACTTCTCCCCCAGGAGGTCAGCGTTCTACAAAACATGCTTGTGTGTGGAGACATGCTGCCTCGTCATCTGGTCCCGGACCTGTGTACCTGCAGTCCCTGGAAGCAGGTTAGAAATAGAGCCCTCAGGCCACAAGCATGGCCTGCGTGGTTCACCAGGCACCCACGACCTAAGACTTGTGCTTTGCGGTTGGAGGCACTCTGTTATAAAGAGTTCAGCACAAGGTCTGTACATAGTAAGTCCTCAATAAACAGTAGCTGTACCAGCAGTCCTAGGAGTAACAGTGCCGAGTATTGCTGTGACTTATATATGGGCTTGCAGGAGGTCCAGACAGCAGGGCCTGGCACCCAACACCCAGCAGGGGCTGTAGCCCAAGAAGAGGCTCCACGAGAACCCACGGCGTGAGGGAACTGGGCTTTGTTAGGTTCTCTCGAGACAGACCTCCCAGCTGTCACAACAGTACTGTTA